TTTAGATAAGATAATAGCTTGGAATTGAATTTGAGCAATTGAGTTGATGTAATAATAACTATAGTGTTCTTAAATATATTTTCAATCATGGTTTACTTAGAGCTAAAGTTTGTTGGATTTGTATCTTGATTTGTGCATAGTTCTTATTATACTTGCTCACAAATCTTCTCAAGCCACTTCCAATGTTTTGAAGTATATAAAATATAGGATTTTGGATCCATTTTTTTTAGTATTTCATGTCAACCTTGGATTATTTAAATGCTTATAATAACATAATGAGCCTGTACCATAGATATTGTTGATAAATAGGATACTTTTGTGCTCGTGATGGTCACCTCATAATAGCATTGGTTTGTTGATTTTGGTACATCATTCACCATTGTTGTCCATAAATGCATTCATTAATTTTGTGATTGCTTCTATATTTATAACGTAAATCTATTTTTATTATTTAGATATTTAATCAACCATTATATTATAGGTAAAATATATTATACTTAATTTCTTCTATTATTGTTATAATTGCTATAGTTAATTTGCTTCAAATATATATAAAGTAATTGTTAGGATTAGCTAAATCCTATTGGCATTTTTTTAATTGTATTTCATGAAAATATTTTCAAGTCACCAAAGTATTACCATAATTCATTTTTTCTTATTTTTGTAAGAAAAACTGGTATAAGTCCAAATTTGAGAGTAACTTTTATTATTTTTTCCATATTCTTTGATCACATATATATCATATTTTGCCAAATTCTAAGTCATAGTTTTTATTTAAACCATAAAGTTTGAATAGAATCTATAAAATTACTATCAAGTTTTTTCAAAAGATTAGATTATTGATATAGATAATCTCTTATTATTTTGTGGTTGATTTGTTTAACTTTTAATAATCTAAGTACGATGTTATTGTTAGTTTCTATATCTTTGAATCTCTTAATAAAACTTAGTATAAAGCCTTTCTAAGTGGTTTTGGAATGCCTTCATGTAAATGATAGAAATCATTTTACACATGCTTCTCTTAATATTATTCAAAACATTTGTTTCAATGTTTTGAGAGATAAGACTTTGTTAATCTCAACCATAATTAGATAAGCTTTGCTATGCTTATCTAAGTCACTTGTATATTATAAAATGAGATATTTAAGGCTTAGATGTCTCTAGTTTGCTACCATTGTTAGAATTAATACAAACATTGCTGGAGTATTCATAACCCCCATAATAGGTAGACTTTTGGTTGGAGTCTTGTTGTATCCTTTGTTAGGTTATTTGGACTCTATATTGTAAGGTATTGACTATTTGTATGAAATTATTGTAATATTATAGCATGTCTTATAAATTTATTTTCATACAATTTTCTATTATTATAAAATATTATTATAACTAAATCTATAAATCTTTAGTTTGTTTAAAGATAATAACAATGGCGGCCTCTCTCAAATATTTCCTAAGCTCACTAAACTAAGGATGGTTGAAGAAAGTCCTTTTTGTGTTCCTTCCTATTCTACTTCCTCTATTCAGCTTGCTTATAGATCTTGTATTCATTTTCCATTGACTTCCCTAAAAGTTTTGTCATGCGATGCTTCTTAACATAGTTAATAAATATTACTAGAGGTTTAGAAATAACAAACATATTTGAGATACAACTCTATAAAAGTACCACTCGCACATACACATTTTTTATGAATGAGCTTGTTTATTGTCAAAATCTTAGAATTATATGGCCTTTGGCCTTATAGTATTCTATCTTGAGATTCTACTATCAAAACATTGTATTGAACTTGCAATTTCATGAAAATATATTGTGGTATTTCTCAAATCCTTGACTATTCTAACTTCCTATTCCTTACTCAAGCTATATCTAAATATATGTTTTGATATTGTCATTGTTGTTCTTATCTTCCTACTTGTTATTCTTCTAGTTCCAACTAATCTTATTCCATTTGATTTTTTTTGTAAGCAACATTGATTAAAAAGAAAAAAAAAAAAAGAAAAGAAAAAATCTAATATTATAAATTATAATTTTTATTATATTGCATATTGGAATAAAGCTAAGATTTGTTCAAAAATTGTATTTAGAATCATGTATAATTAAAGATGTATTTTCTAAATATTTTATTTAAATATAAGATTTTAAATAATACTTATAAATTCTAAGTATATAAATTTTAAAGAATATTAAACTTACAATTTGAATTAAAAAGCTTCTTATTCATGTAAGTATTAGCCATCCTCTTTTATCAACCTAAATGTCAATTTATTAGCAAAAATAGCTCATTATTGAACTATTTACATGGCATCAAATTAAGCAAAAATATATCAAACTAAGTTCATTATTGGCTCAAATAAAATCATTTCAATTAGATAGGGAGTTTTTTCAAAATAAATAAATAATAATAAATTAAAAAAATTAAAAACCCTCAAAGATTCTTCAAATTTAAATTCAAAGAATCTTATCCAACTAAATTTAAATAACCATTGATAAAATTAATTAATTAAATTTAAAGTTTCAAATTACAATGAAAAGGAATTAAAAATACACTTTGCTAATGATATATGCAAATTTCAAAACCTTTGTAACTAAAAGATATTATAAGAAATAAGAATAAATAAATAAATAAAAACAATCAATTTTTTGAACAAACTATTCAAAAATATTTTACTATATTTCAAGTAATGACATCATTTTAAAGCAATAAGAACTACTAAATTCAATCCAAATTAAGAATCTTACTTACATTTATACCACTCCATAAAACAATTCTTATTTTTGGACTTCATCTACAATCTTGTTGCAAATAATAGAACATAACCATTATTTAATATTCTCATCTTCAAATCTTATGAAATCATCATTCTACCCACATCCAAAATCAAGTCTAAAAGAAATTACATCAAGTTAAACTTTGAATATTTTTTGCAATCAACAAAACAAATCCATTTTTTTATTCTAAACACCTACTTTTGTAACCTAAGGTATGATTTTGATCCTAATTCACCACCAAACCTCTCTAAATATCAATCTAAGATCTTTTCAATAATTTTTGCTAAACACTATTCTTTACATTCGTTCAAAGATACATATTGTATTATTTTTGCTAATATATCTAATTTTGCTTTCTTTACAATCCTACAAGTAAATGAAAGTTTTCTTAACAAAGAAAATGCAACAAAGCTACTAATTGTAAATAAGAATTTGATAGTCAATATACTCATATTGTACAAAGACTTTGTACAATGATGTGATATTTGTTTAAGATCCAAAATTCTTCATCATCAATCTTAAGCACTTCTTCAACCATTACCTATCTTGAAACAACCATGGACTTTTATTCTTATGGATTTTATTATAAATCATTCAATCTTATGTTTATATGATTCTATATTTGTGATAGTAGATCAATTTACCAAGATGGCATATTTGTACCATGTACAAAATCTATCAAAAGAAAAGAAACAACTAAGCTTTTTCTAAACAACAATTATTGCTATCATGGATTATCTACGGATATTATATTAAATAGGGAACTTGATCTATATCAAGATTTTTGGAGAATCCTTTTTAAGATTATAAAAGTAGATAAAAAGCTCTTTTGAGCTTTTCATCTTCAAATTGATAGACAATCAGAATAAGTGAATTAAATTTTAGAGTAGTATTTGAGGTGTACCATCAATTATCATTAAGATGATTGAACTACTCTTTTGCCATTGGCAGAGTTTGCATATAATAATTTATTAGATTGTTCTACTCAACAAACACCTTTCTTTGTACACTTTGGTTATTATGTATGACTTGATACATTTAACTTTTTAAAAGTTGATAATTCTATGGCAAAATGTTTTGCAAATCATTTGTCAAAATTACATGCAAGAATGAAGGCACAATTAAAAGAAGCTCAAGAATGACAAAAAATCAATGTGGATGCCTATTTCAAGGAACAACCACAATTCAACATAGTTGTTAAGGTATGGGTACTTTGTTATCATATTAAGACTACTCATCCTTGTGACAAGTTGGACTATCATAGAATTGGACCTTTTCCTATTAGTGAATAAGTCAATCTTTTTGCTTATCGATTAAATCTATTGGAGTCTATGAAGATCCATTTCATATTCCATGTATCTCTTTTTGAGCCATATAAGACAATGAATATCTTGAGAAGAAGTCAAATACAACATCTTCTTATAAACATGAAAAATAATCAAGATTTCATGGTAGTAGAAGTCTTAGATTTATGCAGTGCCAAAATAGATTAAAACTACTTCAAAGTAGTAATCACTATTCTTTACATCCGTTCAAAGATACATATTGTATTATTTTTGTTAATATATCTAATTTTGCTTTCTTTACAATCCTATAAGTAGATGAAAGTCTTCTTAAGAAAAAAAAATGCCACAAAGATACTAATTGTGAATAAGAATTTGATAGTCAATATACTCATATACCACTAAAGAAGAAAGAAGCTTAAGAGACAACAAATAATAATAAGATGTAAAAGAACTAAAAGGATAGTTGGAAAATATGATGACATTACAAAGTTTTATACTAAGACCAAAATACAACATAGCTTCTCTTGAGACTAATGGTTGCCCTATTCTTGTTTCTATATAGATATATATATATATATATATATATATAAGCTATTAGGTAGGCCCTCCAAACTCTTCCTATGCACCTCAAGCCTTACAATTATCAAATAATACATTTGTGTTTGTGTGAATGGTTTGTGCAAATGCCATGTTGGTTGTGAGCATACATATACATTTATACACATACTCTTGACACTAGTTCTGTGCGCAGAATGCAACATGTCACGTAGGTGTGACATTTACCCCTCTAAAATAGGTTTAGTTGCCCTTCCCAGCCACAGGATGTCATGAGCATGGCTTTTTACTCTGTTGCAACTGGGTGCTGCGTGGGCTTCCAACAGTGCAGCCCGCTGACCACGAGATGGGCCATGACGACCACAGTGGTGCCAGAGGAATGTGACATTCATCTGGTTTTGGAGGCAGCGGAATCCGTTTCCGTGGTTGGCAGCAGCGGCCAGCAGCGGTCAGCTCGATGGGAATTCCATCTCGCTATCTCAGTGGAGATATCTCGGCTTATCCAATCCGGTGACCGTAGAAGTGCCCCGAGCATGATTTTGCGCTGGGCGAAGTCGCTATAAGGCCCTCCTCCGAGCTGGGTCGTCCGTGCACAGTCGGCCCGGTATCGCCACTTCATCGCTTCACTCCATTCTGTTGGAGATCCTCCGTTCGGGAACGTGTGTGCAGACATGGCAGGAGCTACCGCGATGCACTCGACAGCCTTGGCTGGGCAGGGTGTGCTCAAGCCCGTGAACGAGCTGTCCCGCAAGGTGGGCAATGTGGAGGCCCGCGTCACGATGCGGCGGACCGTGAGCAAGTCCGCTGGCAGCGACAGCATCTGGTATGGTCCCCACTTGACGAACTCTGGGATGACAGTTTTGAGTGCTTGATGGTTGTGTTGGGAGCGCGATTGGGATTGGGGTTGAGCGGAGTGTGTTGGGGATTGGGGTTGAGCGGAGTGTGTTGTGGATTGGGGATTGGGGATTGTGGGGCGGAGGCCATGAAGCAGTGGAGGCCTTGAATTTGGAAATCGGAATGGCATCCGGCCGGGGCGTGTGGTCGGTTTGGTTGTCCACGCGCGGAGCAGCTTGAGAGGTGAGAGGTGAGAGATGGAGGTTGGCATCGGCGGTGGGGCATTGGAAGTGTGACAAATGTTGGGGTCAGAGCTGCTATGGCGAGGGTGTGCATTGCTGAGGTGACATTGGTGAGGGATAGAGAGGAACGTATGCCTAAGCCGAACGTCGGACTGTTGCTCAGGTACGGAGCTGACCGACCCAAGTTCTTGGGCCCCTTCTCCGGCGAGACTCCGTCGTACCTGACCGGCGAGTTCGCTGGAGACTACGGGTGGGACACCGCCGGACTGTCGTCCGACCCGGAGACGTTCGCCCGCAACAGGGAGCTGGAGGTGATCCACGCCCGGTGGGCCATGCTGGGGGCTTTGGGGTGCCTGACCCCGGAGCTGTTGGCGAAGAGCGGCGTGAAGTTCGGCGAGGCGGTGTGGTTCAAGGCCGGAGCGCAGATTTTCAGCGAGGGCGGGTTGGACTACCTGGGCAACCCGAGCCTGGTGCACGCCCAGAGCATTTTGGCGATCTGGGCATGCCAGGTGGTGCTGATGGGAGCCGTGGAGGGCTACCGTGTTGCGGGAGGACCCCTGGGCGAGGTGACAGACCCCATCTACCCGGGAGGGTCGTTCGACCCCTTGGGTTTGGCTGACGACCCCGACACCTTCGCGGAGCTGAAGGTGAAGGAGATCAAGAACGGGCGATTGGCGATGTTCTCGATGTTCGGGTTCTTCGTGCAGGCGATCGTGACCGGAAAGGGGCCATTGGAGAACTTGAACGACCACTTGGCCGACCCGGTGGCCAACAACGCATGGGCGTACGCCACCAACTTCACCCCCGGGAACTAGGATGGCGCGGTAGAGCCGATTTAATTTTCTGTGAGCTGCGAGAGTCTGTCACCTAGACGGAGCCACCAGTCGGGTTGGCGGCGTTCGCACAGTTGTACATTGGGAGAGTGTGAATGAGTAAATTGTGGATGTGTTATTGTAATTGGGAATTGCAACTGGGCGGAGGGACGGGGAGGCGGGTGTGGATGTGGGCATGGAACGGTTCCGTACGCAGACGGGTGTGTGTTGGTTTCGGCCGGTATGGGAAGTAGCGCCATGTCTTGCGGGATCGATGTGATGGGGAGTGGTTTCGTGGAGTGAAAGACGGTGAGAGCCGAAACTGTGAATGTGAGGGTGGGTGCGGGGGAATTTGTTTGATCTCTAGGAGCATAGCGAGGCGCCCATGCGCTGCGCACGGTGGGGGGATAAAGTTGGCGGGGATTGTTTGTGACTGGAGTTGACTGGTGGATTATCCATATCTGGCAAGCCGTGACATGTGATTGAATTGGCGTCGAGAGGTAGTTTGCGTGGATGGCAGAGCTCAATCAGCATATATGAGGGTGAGGCACACAGCGGGCTCTCACACAATTCTCATCGGTTCACTTTGGTGTCGAAGTAGGACGGGAATACGCAGTTCCTGGAACGGGACGCTGCTGTGGAGAAAACGAATGTGTGGGCGTTGAATGGGTTGCGTAAAGCTTGTCGGAGCGGGGCAAGGGACTAGAGACCGACTGTGTACCATGGGAGTGGAGGGAGATGAATGCGGAAGGGATGTGGGGATAATTTTTGTATATGGACCGTCGTGGTGTATGCAAGAAGGTAGAACAAGGAACACAGGAATCGCTCGAAACGGGCAGTGCACAGCGTAAACAGTGTGCATTTTGAAAGGAAGAACCTGTGTAGTTCGAATTCGGGATCGAAAGGATTAGTCAGGAAGAATATCAGAACTGATATGCTCTTCATCCTTGCAAAATGGACGTGTCAGACGGTCTTGACTGTAGATGTATAGATTCTTGATTGGTGTACATAGTTTCGGATTATGAGAGTCGCAGTGCTAGCAACCGCAGTGTGTCTTTTCTGCATTAGGCGCAAGAAAACGTAGAGTAAATCAGGTACGCTTTGCGCCTGGAAAATGAGATTCTACTCCTGTCCAAATGATATACTATTGCACACATATCTTCAGAGGGGAGGAATGATTGCGGATTACATTCCATCTCCAACAAATCAGACAGAATCCAAATGTCCCAACCAAATCTTGCATTCCGCTCATTGCAGTATGTACTAGAAATTCATTCCTCAGCAGGCCACTGTGTGCTGAGTCATTTGACTTTTCAATTCACATGTAGTTATTATTAAAGCACTTATTGAGCTCATGGTCACAAGCAAAATTTGAATTAGTGTAGCTAACTCTATTACTGGGAGCTTTGTGTATCTACAATGCAACGCAAATGCGCACAGTTGGTAAGCATTTTGTGTTGTTGCAAATGTAGGGCACAACAAGTATTGCTGCGGCGGAGCGTCAATTACATTGCAATCAACGTGTGCTTCTTCTCACTAGACGCGGGCATGATGCATTCACTTCTCAACTCCAACAATACTCCCCAAAACTGCAAATTTCAGTGCAGTGTAAAATCCATTTGGAACAATCCTCCTCCAAGAATTCGGGGACATGACAAAAAAAATTGTAACTTTAACTCGTGACAGGGTATTGAATTATGATACAGTTTACACTATCTATAATTTCTTCGGAGTAGCGTGATTTGAATGGATGGAATGGATATCTGCGGCTTAACTTCACTGAAATGACAGAGAAAGCCCTGATGCAAAAAATCAACTACGAAACGGTCAAGGTAGCTTCTAATCAGAATAATGTACCAAGGGGCGCTCTCTAGACCTCGATTCGGAGGGTACAATGACAAATGACCTTCCAAATAGTCACCACGGTCGAACAACGCCATTAGGACGCCGCTCAAACGGTGGCCGCGGCCCGGAGGACCAGCACTTCCAGGGTGAGCCCCGGACCGAATCCAATGAAGAAGCCAAACTCGCTGCCCTCTCCCAGCGTCGACGCCCCCATCTTGACCGACCTCTGGCGAATCTGATCCAGCACGAACAACACCGACGCCGACGACATGTTGCCGTACTCCGACAGTATGTCCCTGCTCCCCTGCATCTTGTCCTTGGTCAGCTTCAGCTTCGCCTCCACCTGGTCCAGAATGGCCGGGCCTCCCGGGTGCACCGCCCAGAACATCTCGTTCCAATCGGGCGAACCGACGCACTTCCTGGCCTCGTTCAAGAACTTCTCGATGTTCTTGGAGATCAGCCCTGGCACGTCCTTCATGAGGTGGAAGATGAGCCCCGCCTCCGTCAGATGCCCATCAATGGCTCCATCACTCTCTGGCAAGATCGTCTCGCCCGCCCAGTGCACCTCGAACAGTGCTTTCTCCACCTCCGGCTTGGGATCGGATCCCACCACGTACACTCCGGCGCCATCGCCGAACAGGGCCGAGCCCACCAAGCCGTCCAAGTGGTTCTCGCTGGGTGCGCGGTATGTGACGGCCGTGACCTCGCTGGCCACCGCCAACACCCTGGCGCCCTTGTTGTTCTCCGCCAGATCCTTGGCCACCCTGAGCACGGAAGCACCGCCAAAGCACCCGGTCTGGTACATCATGACCCGCTTCACCGTGGGCTTCAGGCCCAGCAGCTTGGCCAGGGCGTGGTCGGCTCCGGGCATGTTCACGCCGCTGGTGGTGGCGAACACGATGTGGGTGATGTCAGACTTGCGGCCGCCCCACTCCTTGATGGCCCTCTGGGCTGCCTCCGCGGCGAGCTTGGGGACCTGGACGACGACGATGTCGTGGCGGACGTTCAGGGAGGGCTCCATGTACGTGCAGATGCCGGGGTTGGCCTTGAGCACCTCCTCCGTGAGGAACATGTGGCGCTTGCGGATCCCCGACTTGTCACCTGCATCGACATTCATGGCCAAGCGTCAGCTGCCGTCGTAAGGGGCCGGAATCGACCCAATTTCAGGAACATCGCGACCGCCGCATTCCCATCTCGACGCCCGCAACAAATCACAAGTCGCAATTCTAATGCGCTCGCGCCGCGCAGCCCGTGCAATGAGCACGTCGTCGAGCGCGGCTGGGGGTGAGGGCCGGCCCACAGGGAACAGTGAGCACATCACGAGCCGCGAAGAGAGTCACACGGTGGAGGTGGACTTACAGATGCGCTTGAATTTGGCCTTCAGGGCGTCCTTCTCGCCGCAGTTGGTGATGTTGAAGAAGAAGTCGGGGTACTCGCTCTGCAGGAACTCCGCGGGAGGCACCGCAGTGCCGACGCCCAACACACATGCTGGTCCCTCAGCGCGAGGCTGGCCTCTGGGAAGCGCGCTCCTTGTGGCAGCACCCTGAACGTCGACTTCTCCGCTTGGTGCCATGGGCACGTTTGGGTTCGGAATGGATGTTGAGTCCGAGCTGCTCACTCGGGGTTGTCTCGAAGCGGCCGGACAATGAGCGTTCAATTTGTTCCGGTGAACTGGCCCTGCAGCCACTGCCTAGGATCTCTTAACCTGCCAAAATCAGGGGGCTTATATGCAACGCACAATGTGCCGGCGAGAAGGTGGCCCGAGTTGAGCAGACGTCTCGCTCTGAATCTGTTAGCTCACCAGTTGGAACTCTATCTGCTAGGATACGTTTCTGCTTGAGATTACTAGTGTGAGCTCATGGGTGGTTTGGTGAGTGAAGCAACCGAGACAACAACCTTTTTATTTAGCGACGGTACAACAACCACTTGAACGGGCCTCAACCTTTCACCGTGACTAATCATTTGCTTCTAATCCTACATAGTTTGCCATCTGAAGCTTAGGAAACTCTATCGGAGTTAATTGCTCTGTGATGCCTTTTTTTCCACTTTGCGACCACACCGTCTTCAACTTTGTGGAGCTGTTTTCGAGTTTTGATTGATTGGATAAACACTTTCTTGACTATATGGTTGAAGGGCCCTGATTTTGATCGTTTTAATGAGTTTTTGGTTACCATAGAGAGCATTGTGTGAGTTCCGTGACTTTGCTAATCATTCTTTCTAATTATACCGCTTTGTGCAGTCAGTTGTTGGCGATGGTCTTGGGACGGTTACTTGGAACCCACAAAAAAGTCGCCGTGAAAAGTGCTCGGGTGTTGCTTGGAGGAGAACTAAGTTTAGCTATGTGTTTTTGTCTAGGACTTGGTCGAGGAAACGTTTCCAGAAGCACAATTTTGCGAAGCTGATGAGTACAGGAGGGCCAAAGGGTTCTCGTCCGGAGCCAATTTGAAACTGGTCGTTGAAACGAAGTTGACATTCTTTTCTGTTCATGGAAATGTAGAACATGCACAAATCCTCGCACTGCTCCTGCTTCAATTCCTTCGGCGTGGATTTGCCTTCTGTATGTTCCACCGGCAGAATATGCGTCCACACATCCCTCTTAACTGTTCACTTAATTTCAATAGAGTTTGAATCTCGATGCTTCGAACATGGTTTGGTCATGATGGGACTTAATGGAGGAATCACAAACTAATCCAGCAAAAGTTTCCTCGCCAACAAATCAACAACAAATGGGTGAATTTTGGTACTTATTTTCTTCAGATTTTTTATCTTAGGAACATTAGTATTGGCTCATGCCTAGAATTCTCTGCCTGAAATACTTGGAGATTAGCTGGACCAAGTCAATTACGCTGTTGTTTCCGTCAGGAAGTGGTGCTCCTGGCCCGCTGTGGCGCAACACGGAGGCTCCAGCCATGGTTATTGTGTGCTCAACAGCACACTGGGTCATGCCATTTTGCTAATTATAAAATGCTCAAAGTCTTAAAGGAGATGTAAAGTAGTCAACTAAAGTTACAAAAACAGGAGGAAAGGTCTGTTCGTGGTATAAAATGAAGTCTCCATAATTGAAGTCTATCAAGGATGACCAGGTGGTGTTGGAATGGCTTGGTGTGATTCCACCGTAGACCTGCCATTGAAAACTGAAGGATATTTGGGAGCTCTTCTTTCTTATATATATATATATATATATATATATACATACGTTACTGCACAAGCTTATAAATAACAGCTAAATTTTGAATCTGCTTTCTTGAGTAGGCACAAGGAATTACTTTTTGACCATCAGAAGGATGGAATTTCGCAATAGAAATGGTTATCATTTGTGGGAGATGGGATTCATCGAGTCAACACGAGTCCTCATATTTGATGCATATTCATTCTTTCTGTTTGTTTAATTGTTTGTGAATTTTATTAACTAGGTGCTTTTCCGTGTCTCAAAACCAAAGGGTAAAGTTTGAATAGAGTACTTGCCAATAAATTTTCTCATAAAAAGTTGAGTTCTCTTGTTTGTAAAGTTGTAATGACCTCTAAATTAAAATGAAATTTAAGAAAATATAGTTTAAAGATATTTTGAGTACATTTTAAACATCTATTTCAAAATTTTGGAATCATACTAATTGAAAATCTTACTTTGTAATTTCATTTTCAAGAATAAGATATTGAAAATTTAAATAATGATAATAACTTAATTAATTAAAAGTAATTACAAGATATATATATATAAATATATATATATATATATATTCTTTTTCTTTTTCTTTTTCACCAAAACACTTTTAACTAGATTAATCTATGCACCTCAAAATCATCTCCCAATAAGTTTCTAAAAGAATTATTTTTAGAACAAAAGCCCGACATATCCAAGTTGTGCATTTTTGGTACAATGGTATAAATTCATTAAACAACACTACAAAGGAGCATATTATCACCTATAAGCTTATTGTACATTCAACTAAGCTTTAACGACCATGTTAAATAATATCAATGTTGAGATCTAGCTCAAACACAAGTAGTGATTTCCAAAGATGTATGTTTTTTAGAAAACACTTTGCTAACAACTCCAAAATAAATAAATGAAGAATTTACCAAAATATCAGGACTAGCTTTTAGGAAGTATATTTTGATAAGTACTAGATTAAAGCCATAATTTCTGAACTTTGCTCCAACTAAAAAAATAAAACTTAGATATTAGTACCTCTACCACCATATATACGATCCATCACTACCCATTAGATTTTTAAATATTAACTTGGTTTGAATAATCATCCAACAATAAAATCAATATTTAAATCAAGAATTGTAGTGAAAGGTAATAAACACATCTACAGCATTGACTTTCAAGAAATATTTATTTTCACTATTTATTGAGAGTAAAACAATTCATCACAAGAATTGTGGCTCATTAAGTCTCATCTATTTATCACCTTGATGTTGTCACTATTATCATGTTACGTAAAGTTTTTTTTAAGAATGCACTAAGCATCTAGCTATGGAAGGTAAATTGAAAATTACAACAAGGTTCTAAAACATTTAATAGAATTCTTATTAAATTCCAATTAAATCTTAACAATAATAATAAAATTTTAATTAAATCCAAAAGAAGTTTTAAAGAAATTAAAAAAGAAATAAAAAGAAATTATAAACTAATCTTAAAAAAAAAAAAAAAAAAAAAAAAAATCCTAACAGACTCAAATTAAATTTTAATGTAGCTTTAAAAAAAATGAATAAAATTTTCATGAAATCCGAAAAAAATCCTAAATAAATTCTTCTCAATTCCTAAAAAATTATAATAAAATCCTAATCAAACTCTTGAAAATTTCTAATGGAATTCTAAACAAATCCTAGATAAGTCTTAATAAATTTCTATAACAATATTAAAATTTCAATTGCTATTAATTAAATTTTTATCTACATTTTAATACTTCAGCAATTAACAAACACACAAAATTTGAAGAAAATTGAGTTCATAAATTAAGTAAAAAATGCTCCTAAAGCTCTTGAATGTTAGTCATCTTCTATCTCCAACCTAGATGTTGATCTTTTAATAGCAAATAATCCATATTGGGCCATTTTGTTGCTCTCTTATTTTACAAATGTATAAATACTAAAGCCTTATATGCTCTTACAAAGTTTTGTTTTGATCAAATTGATGGATTTTTGAAGATTACAAAAGACCTCATTGACCTTAAAATTCAAGTATTTAAGACCTAATCCAATAAAACTTCTACAATCTTTAATCTAATCATTTGATTGATCTAAAATTTATAATATATATTTAAAATAAGTATAATAACAAACTCACAAAATTTCACTTATAAATTTGCTATAATATCTATAAATTCTTCAAATTTGTATGCCTCTTTTCATTTTTAAAAATCCAAAATCTCTAAATATATCTTTTACTTTAAAAAACTTTAAAAAATTCAATATGCCTCTAATTTATTGAAATTCGTACTTAAACTATCTTTTTGAAGTCTGTTCTCACACCTTATTCTTTGATTAGCATGAAAACCTAAGATTTAATGAAGATGCACAATTTTATTCCTTAGGGTCTATTTTTTATCTTAATTTATAACTGATCTTCTTTAGGTATCAATTCTAGGTTCATTAAAGTAATGTTTAATCTTTAAAATTTCTTCTAAAGATGCTTTATTTTATTTTTTTAATATGTTATTTCAATCTTATTTATGGCCTTACAAAATAAATAGAAGCTTCTTTTCTAAAAAAAATATTAATATTAACATTTTCTACTATCTTCTTATAATTTATCAAATTTTTTACTCTATTTTTTAATTAAGATATTTTATAGTAGAACTTACATTTTATCTTTAATTATATAGTTGTATAAAAATACAACATCATAAATAAAAAATTAAAAGAAATTTATCTCCAAAATTAGAATCTAAGCTCAATTCTTATAACATTTTTTCTAGCAATCAATGTCCTAAATTACACAAAAAATTCTTCAGATTTATAGCAATAATTGAACACCACATGAAGATACATAAGAGAGTTCATAGATATGATATCAATAGAATAACATCTTTCTTTATTTACAATATATCATTCTATTATCTACCTTATGAGTAATATGATGAATTTTATTTACTTATTGTTATTTTCTTTATTAATCATATTCGACAAGTGATATTATAATTATTTTCAATTTTTTTTAATACATATTATCCATAATAAGCACATGTATGTATTAAACTAATTTATTTCTTTTACATCCAATTTATCAAATCAAGTTCTTATGTTTTGTTGTTGTACATTTAAAAAAAAACTTTTGGCTCATGTTCTTATAGTTCTTTTTTAAGAGCATTAGTGCCATATTTATATTATAAAGTCATGAGTCACCTTGAATACATAAATAAGAAAAATACTTATTACTACTATTACAATAGTCTATCATCTAAATAAAGTTTTTTACATATAAGACATTAGATAATACAAATGAATTATAAAATATGTAATTTAAACCAAATACAAATGCACATTAAACATACTTCGAAGGAAAGATTAAAAATCTACACCAAACTAAGTCAAGTTATCTCTCATACTACAAAAAGAGAATCTAAGAATTCAAGTGTAAAAATAAGAAAAATCCAAAAGCTTTATTAAAATAGCTAAAACATCATAGGTAAGCAAATCCTTACAACAAGTTTTCTCATTCTCAAAATCACTCACAAGACTTGACTTAACAAGAATTTCAAGGGTTTTTCTCAACTTAAATATTCAAATCCTAATTTATATGAATAAAGTTAATTCATGAAAAAATTATCAATGGATGAAAAACTACTAATTATACTAAATTATATATATTTGATGAGATTTGGCATCCAATACCATTTCATGTGATAGCTATTGTGTAAATAAAGAACATTACATACAACACATTAACTTCTACAAATCAATTATAAAGTATGTAATTTAAACCAAATACAAATACACACCCAACACACTTTCAAATGTCTCCAAAGTTGATTAGAAGTTCCTTTAGTCAAGTAGGACTAAAAAATATACATCATTGAAGATGAATGCTACAATAATGTTATTGCCAAATTGTCCTCATTCAAGCAAGTATTGTAGCAATTAAACCACTAAAGTATGTGACACATACAAAAGAAGAAATCTTCAATCCTTATCAAGAGATGAGTCATGAATAGAAGACTTCTTAAAATGAGGAAAAATCCAATCTTTTAATGAGAGAATCAAAAGAAATAGTGTTAAATATGTCATATACCATCTATGTTAGCATTAATCATACAAAATCATGGTAGCAGCTCATTTCTTTTCACCACATATAAAACAAGAAAGATCAATTGATACAACTATTAATTCAAGATATATAGAGTTATTAATATAAAGATGAGAAGGAATACAATTCTTTGAATATTTTTGAAATTCTTATCTATTATTACCTTCTAATAAGAAAATACTACCAAGTAATACATTCTTTACATATAAAATTATGTGCCTTGTCTTAATATCAAGCATTGTAAGTACTTCAAGCTAGGTTGGTAGAATTGACTATTGTCCATACAATAATTTATAAGAATTATAAAATATCAAAGATATTTTTTTTTATTAAAGTAATAATTTATTGCAATCCATAGCAACATCAAGTCCCAATTATAATGGTTGCTATGAAATAATCTATACTTTTGTAAACCATGTTGTTGAATTGTGACACGATTATATAGTGAAAATATGACTAAAAATATTTTTTTAATTAATACTCTATTATATTAATTCAAAAAGAATTAAAAATATTTTAATAAGGCTTTTATAAAAGCCTCTTAGCCTATTTTCTTGTCTTAATAGCAAGTAAATAAAAGTTAATTAGTATTTTTACCTTCTAGGATATAGAAACTTTTTTACTACCTTAGAAAGGCCATAAATTGTTAAAATCGGAGTAGAAGAGGTAAATGGTTGGTATGGTTGATACTAGGATCAAGTTAAAGGTAGGATTGGGCTAAAAAATCCTTAGGATAGATTAGATTGATACTCGGGGATCGACCGTTTGTGAGACGAGATTGAAATCAGATCTTTGATCACTAAAATGATCGCCTAGAGAAAATTAGGATTTTATTTGAAGATTGGAAGTTAGAATTTGAGAGTTAGCATGAAGCTCTTTTCAAAGGCATGAAGATTTTTTTATAGGATTTTTGAGGAATTGGCAATTGTTGTTCAAAGTCAGGGTTTGTATTGGTGATTTGGGTTTTATATAATATAATTAG